ACTTTATTGTGAGCAAAATGTTACCAAAACAGCCCAGTGTATCAGATTTGATACAAAAAATATATCATAAACAAAGTGATGTGGCAATTTTATTTTATTTTTTAAAAATTATTTCAAATTTTGTTCAAAAGCCCAAAAAAAACCTGTCAGTTCTAAAACATGTGAATTTTTGGACTATTTTTTTTAAAGGGTTTAATCATCGACTTTAGTGAAGATTGATAAAAACATCTTAGCCCATTTCTTCATCTGGGCTTGCTGGTTAAAGTGACCCAAATCAGTGTATGTTTTTATTTAGTTTGGTTTTTAAACTTATGGTCCACAGATATTCTGGCTGCAGGGACTTAATAAAACAGTCAGTGTTTCTTCATCTGTCACAGCAAAGATCCCAGCTTCTGTCCAACTACCTGCTGCACTCAGGTGTTTTCTGACAGGGGGTCCGTCAAATGTTAGCAATCATCCTCACAACGCGTTTGGCTTTACCACAAATCATCAAACGTAAGGCTCGTGGGCCAAATGTGACCTGCCACTGAATTTATGTGGCCCGTGTGATCTTAAAAGATGTATTAATGTCTTTAAAATGAGCTGCTTTTAAGCCAGCATTCACCATAAACTACTGTACATCTCCATGAGGTGCCGTTTGTAAAGTTACACTGTCAAAAATTATCACCATTATTTTTGTTTTATTTAGACTTTTATAAGAAAAAAAGAACAATGTCAGTTTTCACCATATGATTCATACATTTATAAATGTCAGTTTATAAACTAAATATTTAAGTCACAAGTTAAATATTTAGCTTGATTTAATTTGTAAGTTAAATATTTAGTTTATAAACTGTGACATTAATAAATGTATGAATCATATGGTGAAAAACTGACTTTGAAAAATAAATGTTTTTTTCTTATAAAAAGTTAAATAAAACAAAAATATTGGTGGTAATTTTTGACTGTGTAACTTTACAAACAGCACCCCGTACATCTCCCTTAAAGCATGCTGATTATTTTACCCAGGAAATGACAGAATCCCACCACTAAGTGGAGCACAGGGTTCAAAAGAAGACGGAATATAATTCTTGTTAAATCTCCATTTCACTGCATTTTGTAGTTTTTGCTGCGGCCCAGTTGTACTTTTCAAACATTTAAACAGGAACACTCTAGTTTCCTGTAATCAGTAATTGTGTAATTGTGATTCGTTTCCCATCCAGGTCATCTTAACTTTGCCATGCTTCTTCTCCTGCATACTTTGTCCTAGAGCTGCCATTGTAATTTATATCTGTTAAAGCCCCTGTGCCAAATGATGCTATGCCTTTTGGTGCCTGTAAAACTTATAGTTTTTGAAATATTAATGTTTAATAAATTATAATGGCAGTCAATGGAGCCTTGTATTGGTCCAATACTGCCCCCTGCTGCATCTACACAATATGGTACTGCACGATAATTTCATAAT